TAATTCGTCCCCCCTGAACGTAGTAGGCTTAAACGGAGAAAGTATTGTACTCGTCAAAATGTTCGAATTTGAGTATTGGATAGAAATACCCGTTTTTTGTGGAAACTGAAAATAGTTGTTCCGAAGCCAAGTGAAATGAAAAATTGCTGTTTGCTGCTAGAGCAATATGACTGTATGATTTTTTGGCATTCGTTTTTTATTAAATAACGGAAAATCAGATTTTCACAAAAAACTACTCAAAAGATTTAGATTAAAATGTAGTATGTTATAGTTCTTTTAACTTGAAGCAATATGGTACGACCCTCAATGTGTAAAAACCATGGTCCAAGAGTTATTTCAAATTTTTGTGATTTTGCTAATAAAATATCACAATTACTTTTACCGCTTAACCATTGACTGCTAAGGCAATGGGAGGAATTTAGGAACTACTTTAATATTTACTTCATACCATGCTATAACCTAAACCATGTGAATCTTTAGGAGTATATCCTAATTCCCAACCTTCTTCAACCCGTGAACTTTTGGGGACTTTTTTAACTGTATCTAACGACACCAACTTCTCAAATTTTGTTAGAAAAAGTGATCGGAAATACAATAATAAAAATATATAAATTTACCATATAAACCTAGTTGTTTAGATGCTTTTTACCAAATGATATGGCAACAGTGCAATTACTATCGTGTGTTACTAGAATAGCACTGTATCATGCAGCCTATGACTTATTTACATATGGTAACGTGGAAACATTATTATACTATGCGTGTCAAGCCTTCCGTGATGTTTCATACATTAGCGGTGATATTTTATTGAATATCTAATGTAAGAGTGCATCACAACTCCATAACTATAGAACAAAATGTCATAGTTTGATAGAAAACTGTGAAAACCCAGAAAATTCGTTCGTGGATTCAATGCATACATTATCAACTTTCATGTTGAAAGTTAATAAATTATTTAATAACGTTTTTTAATGCCTCATTGTTATGTGTATCGATACCTAACAGATCTTCAAATAACTAATTACACCGATCAACTTTGGATACCGAATTAAAGCGTCTCATTTATATAAACCAATCAGTTTTTTCTCACAGAGAATCAAGTTGAATGAGGTTCTCACAGAGTGTGATATTGAAGATAGTTTTTAATTAAGTGTTCACACTATATGTCATTTGAAGATATAAAAAATTGATATAGTTTACAATGAGGTGTCATTTAGTTCGGAATAATCAAAAGGACGGTGGCGTTCAAAATATACAACTCTATAAAGTGGCTTCCGAAGTTGCTATAATCTTAGATTAAACGTACACTCTTTTAGTTAATATGTGCTATCACGGACATGACGGATAGTTTTATTAAACCACTAGCAACAGATCCCGTTGTGGTTAAATACAACGCTCTCTAGAAAAATAGTACATAATCACATAATATTATATTTAAGCGTTATTTACAAAACATAAACACAGAAAGGTCAAGGAAATAACAATGCAACAATCAGCTGTTAAATTATTAACTCGTGTTCCATATGATCAGCTGATGCATACCGCCATATCCATTACTACAATAACTCTTAAAAAGGTCCAACTTTCTTGCATATTTACACCAATTAAGCTTTCCAACGACACAATAATTAATTAAATCGGACCAGAAAAACTGTAGATTTAGTTGTACAAAGTTTAACAAAAATATCTCTAATTCAGTATTTTCTCATCACTAAATTTGGAGGTCGCTCTTTCGGAAATATAACTTTTAAATGGTGAGGAAATTGACCAAAGTGGAATGTGATATCCTGAAAGAGAATAACATTTCCAACAAATTACTACCTTCTTGAAAATACTCAAAGATGCAGACTAAACTTGGCAACAAATAGAAACTTGAAAAGCAGTTTTTAATGTATTTATCATGGTTAACATGTTTTTTTTATATATTTCACCATAAATCTATATAAATAAAATTATAGTTTTGTCTGTACATTGTACATAGCCTAAGAAAGCCGAAACGATTCTTATCTTAATTTCTGTCTGTCTGTCCATTCTGTCATTCTGTCTGTGACGCCAAAATTCCATTTTACGCGGCCTACTCCTAGAAAACTAGAGTACCGATCAAGGTTCAAATCATTTTATGTATTTACTGGATTGGTGAGAGTGTCTTTGGCTATAACAACATGGCCTCGCTTCTTCGAAAACTAAATAACGATCCATAAAAACCCAATTTTGTTCGATTTTTGTCCAATTTTCTACCAATATTACTATTACATTTTATGAAATAACGATCAGCTGTTTGGATTAGTCTTCTAGTTCTAACAAAAACTATTGACAAAATCAGTCCAGTAGAACTGTTTATTTAGCTGTACAAAGATTTTTAAACTTAATTATTATAAAATGTAGATGCTGAATATAAGTGCTGTATTTACTAAGCGTATGATAAAATATTTTTTCTAAAATTCTCTCAGAAGTATCACGTAGAATCTACTGATACAACTGTATCCTTGACCTCAAGTATCAAACCTAACAGACCACCCTGCAGAGTTGTTATTTTGTACAATAATTCAGAAAGCAATGATCACGCAAACGAAAGATCAAAGTGTGTTTGAACTGCGATTTAAAAGATTACCTCGCTTTATCAAATAAACGGATCGTCTGTGTAAAGTACACGAATATTTACTGATTTATTACGTTTCAAGGGTCGTTCTATTATACTTTTTGTTTAGAGATATTTACTTACTAGACAAGGTTCCTTATTTTATCAAGTCACAAAGAGATTTGTTAACTACTTTGATAAAATAGTCCTTGTGGTGATGTTTCCGAGCAACCTCTGTTCCATAATTATGGTGAACTCTGATATAGTTCATGTGGTCGAGTGGTTTTGCTCGAATTTGATCATCTTGTAGGCTTTATTAGTTGATAATAAATGATGGGTATTGGACATCAACACATTCCTGTGAATAAATTCACATTAAGTGACCGTTGGTTTGTAATAACAGTTTGGTTGGTTTGCATAAATCAAGCGATTTTATGAAACTTAGTACAAACATTTAAACTTACAAACATCCGACCAAGTTCGCGAACCACCATAATTAGATTATAGGAACAGCGTTTTATGGGGGAGTTTATAGGAATACAATTTAGTTTTCCTATTTTTACACTCAAAACATTAAATGTTCCTAAATTATTTCCAAATAATTTTGTTGAGCTTGAAAAAGAATTTAGTATATTGAAGGGTTGTTTCACGTTTAATGGTTACGGATGAAATTCAAAGAATTGTAAATTTAAAATCTGCATGTTATTCTTGTGGAGAATGAATCAACTGTTGTGATTTGCTTGTTTATGGATGTATTCTGATCATATTTAACTAATTGTTTTTTTGTCCCATGATATTTACAATTCACAAAAAAACACTCTATCGCCTTCCCTGTAGCAGCAAACCTAAGGGTTTAACCTATAATGTTATTTAAATATAGAGTAAATCTGACATATTGAAGGATCTATTTTTAGCAAAACCCCAATCAGACACATGGAAATTCGATAAGGCTGTAGGTAGATGTTCTGTGACAGTGGTCACTGTTTAGGCAGCCACATACTTCTTGCACGTACATAATCTGAATGTTGTGTTGATGCGCGGTGAGTGTAGCGTAAAGTGTTCTTTGTTAATATGTAACCCTTTGGGATGTCTTTATCATCTGTTTCTGTACAGCTGGTCCATGGTCTAACCGACAACACATTATAGCTAGGCTAACACTATTAACACTCAGCTACCCAGCCATCATACACACTCCACTGGATGTAAGAATGTCAGTTTATTTTATCAGAACCTAAAAATAAGCTATCAGTTGTATAGGGTCTCTAATTGCATAGTTTACTACCTGTTGCCCTTTCGGTTTAATGTAATAATTTATTAAAAAATCGTATACGAAAAACTCTCAATTAAAATTAAAGTTATAATAGCTCTCTTTAAAAATGTCTTCTTCTCTGTAGAGTGTCCATAGTCAAAACTAGCTTCAACATTAAAAATCATAGGTCGTGTATTACGAATTTTTCCGTGAGCAAAATCCGACAAATGAAATGATTCTTCAGGGTACTTGATTAGTCGATAAATCAATTTAACCTTCACAGTCGAGAATCGACCAGCATTGTGAACTTAGAGTCAGCACCCTCGCCAAGGAAGGATCGATAAATTGAAAGCATGAGCGATTATACCGTAGCCGAACAAATACAACCCTTTATAACACCGCTTGCAAACGCGAACACGTCAATGGGAAGTCGCCGGTGGTATATTTAGTAGCTTTAGCTACTGTGTGGATTGAACATTCTAGACCTATCAAACGCGCGGACTTAATAAATGAAAATTTTTCACGCTGTTTTGATTATTTGGTGAATCCAAAGTCATTATATAACTTAGGCGAGGTTTAATTTGTTGTAGTTTTCAATTTTAGGTTTTTTGTTTTTTTTCTTTGTTTTTATTCTAAATGAATATTTGGGGAGTTTAAAAACCACATGAAGATATTGCTTGATGAACTGCAGCATCCTTAGGGACATCAATCTCTAATAGTTCACCCCCTAAGATTTCCGGCTCCAGGCCAAAAGATACGTCACACAACTCAAAACTGAAACCAGCTGGTATTAGAGCTGTCCTCGCGATTGGAAAACCGGAGGTGACGTCTTGAGAGGGTGGTATTCTAGAGACCAGTCCCCTCTATGATTTCTCTCATGTGTCTGTCACTTGTGGTTCAAGAGTGATTCCAATATCTTCATTCATAACTGTGCAGTTAAATAAATCTGCCGCATGTTCCCCGTTGGGTATCAAAGGGATGTAGGTGCTTTAAGTGGCTATAAACAATGATCGTTCCGGTATTCTTCCTCCTTGCTGAAGTGTTTATTGAAACAAAGCCATAATATAAGGAACTGTACACGTAAATCTACTCCAAAATAACATTTATACTCAGTAGGTACTTGGTTTTTCTGCTATACGACAAACACTACTAAAGTTGTTTGTGTTGTAGAACATGCACTCCGCTTCCGTCAGCGTTATCGGCGATCAGCACAACTTTGTCAGTGTCCTGTCTAGGAAGAAAAGGTATGTGTAGTTTTTTATTGTTTTGTTTTATTTATAGTTGCCTGTCATCAAGATGGTCATAGCTTCACATTTATGATGGCACTGTATGATGGCACTGTATTCAAGTATTACCAGTGTTTTAGCAAATAACCATATATGGAATAACACGTAAATGACATAAAAGTTATATTTGTTATCATAACCTGAACAAATTACGTACTAGACTAGTATAGATTAAAGGAGTGGTATTAGAGAAATAGTTGGTTTTTGTTAATGGTAGGTGTTGTTATATGCAGTTACGCGTTTGCCCATACATGGAAGATTGTTATAAAGTTTCCAACGAATTGATTTGAATTTTCATTCCCTTGTTTGAATTTGAATACCAACAGTGTCAAAGGCAGTCTATTCCTTCGAAATTAATTTTGAGTTTTGTTTTGTAAATGTTTGTGTATAGGTATTTTATTTATAAAACCACAAAGTTAATCTAGAAATTATGTGTTTTTATTCTGTGAGCAACTCACCACACTCTTACACATTGCTAAGAAGTAAATGAAAAGGTAAATAAATGTAGTAAATATTGGATCAGGTCACAAATATTGTGTGGTTTCGTGATTTGTAAAACCAGATATCATGATATCTATTCCGTCACATTGATAAATGAAAGAGATAACAACAAATATGTTAAAATAGGTAGCGTGTGCACGAACTTTCTGATTTACCTGTTTATTATTGTCTACCAATTTACAAACCAGAAATGTTTTATCCTGTATTTTTCCTGTATAATCATGTTTGTTTTAACTGTAGGCCTATTATGCAATAGGAAAATAAAGCTATCTGCCAACTTACCTTTTTACACAACATGTAATATAACCCACTAACTTACTGTATTAATTATTTACATAATGCATCCAACCTTCTGTAAACCTAGAGTTTTCATGTGTACCTTAAATTATTGATCTGTCAACTTTTTTAAAGATGTTTGTGACTTCTTAACCTTGCATTTGCCACTCACGTAGACCTGTGTGTGGAAGGTATCCAGCAAAACAAGAGATTGATCGTAAATAATCCAAAATGTGTATATTTTCCAGTTTTACCTTGTAAATATTGATAGCTTACAGTAGTACAAATTTATTATTTGTACAAATCTTGTATACACAATGGTATTTACTACAAACAACTAGCTATTTCTGCATTAATTTTCCTTTTTATTACCAAGAGTAATTTTTAAGAACAACTAAATCAGTAAAATTGGCTTTTTCAAAGTACCATTGCCTAATGTATAAACTACTAGAAGTAATTTAGTTTACATTGAAGATTTGAAAAGTTTAAAAGTAAAGGACGTTTAATCTTTAAATTGATTAACATTTTTGAGTGGCCTTTCACAATTTTGTTGTCTGTGCAAGCATATTGATAAACCTTGTACAAACAATTTCAAGCCAATTATTGATTTTCTGTCAGTTTCTTCTTGAAAAGAACTTCACCTTTAAGTTCGTTTGGTTTAATGGCAAACATTTATACTCTTACATGATGTAATTTTTGTGAACTTGTGTTCATATATTAGCGAATTTCCCATATAGGGAATAAGCTATTACCGTAGTACTACTCACGGTAAGACCTGGACCCGGGACCGATTTTTTTTTCGTTTTGAGGTCCCTAGAGGTTAAAAACACCATCCGTTCAAATTCATATATATATATATATATTTATATATATTTATATATATATTTATATATATATATATTTATATATATATTTATATATATATATTTATATATATATATTTATATATATATATATTTATATATTTATATATATATATATGTGTCCGTTAGCGCGATAACTCGAGCAAAAATGATCCGATTTTGATGAAATTTGGTACAAACGTGTAAACCTACGTTTATTCGAACGAGTTCGCGAACCAGCATGATCGGACCATGGGAACGGGGATTTATGGGGGCTTTTATGAACATAAAATTTTGCAATTTCTTTCGAAACTATTTTGTAGAGCTTAAAAAAACAAATAATTTAGTATATTGAAGCGTTATAATGCGCCTAATGGTTACGGAGAAAATTCCAAAATATTGTAAATTTAAAACTCCCATGTTTTTCTTATGGAGAATAAGTAAACTGTTGTAGTTTGCTTGTTTATAAACATATTTTGCCCAAATTTGGAAAATGTTTTTATTTCTTACTAACTATTAACATTTTACATAAAAAACACTTTTACCCTCCCTGTTGCAGCAAACCTAAGTATGTTTTAAACTGATTCTATTTAAATAGGGAATAAATGTGATAATTTTAAGGAGACATTTTAGTGTAAATCCATTCAGGGAAATGGAAATTCGCTTAGTCTGCAGGTTTGCTGCGGCGGGGGTATTTTTTTATTCTTAAGGTTTTAATTAACAGAGTTAACCAAAGAGTGTCTAATCGGCGTCAGCTGATTTAGGTCCATTTTGATTAGGGTGTAAAAGACCACGACAAAATGATGAAGGAAAAGTGTGAAAATATTCGGATGACGTCATATTATTGAGACAAAACCTAACCATGTACCAAACCATGACCAAAACCTAAACTATTGTAAACACCATTACATTTGTTATGTTAGCTAGGTTGTAGTCTAATCCTATTAAGCTTTTATCATAATGTGTTATCACCTGACCTACGTACCTAGCCTACGTTTTAGGATTTGGAAATCAGCTGTTTTATTGTTAGTCTAAATAAAACTTTCAACTTTGTGTAGGACTATTATGTATGTCAATATTCAATGAAGTCGGGAGTGGTTGCCGTTTTTTTTTATTTTTCAAATCGATTGTAACTCATTGTTGCATTATTATTGACTAGCTGTACCCGCGGGCTTTGCCCCGTTTAACTTCTTAATTTTCAAGATGAGCTCGTTCACATGGCTCAATCACGTCCTGGTTAAAGTTCGTTCGCTACGCTCACTCACCTTTTGGTTGCAAATTAGCTGTTGTCATAAATTGAAAAAAAATAATAGTGCTGCACCCTGTTGGTAATCCTTGTAACTTTAATGCTATTGAACATCATAGAACAGAACCAACTTGTTTAATTGAAACAGCTGTTAAGATTCATTAATCTTATATATTTAAAAAATTTGGTTTTTCTTTTCCGAGTTCGTTTGGCTCTTCTACCCGACCGATTTTCATGATTGAGGTCTCAAATTGAAGGTATGCACGCTCAGATTTGCCATCAAGTATCGGCATATATTTATCTATAATCCTACTCGGCTTATACGTAAAAGAAATTTGCTCCCCATGTTATTTTTATGGGAGTTAAATTTGGTTTATCTTTGCCGAGTTCGATTGGCTCTTCTACCCGACCGATTTTCATGATTGAGGTCTCAAATTGAAGGTATGCACGCACAAATTTGCCATCAAGCATCGGCATAAATGTATCTATAATCCCACGCGGATTATACGTAAACGAAATTTGTTCCCCGAGTATTTCTTATGGGAGTTAAATTTGAGGTTTCTTTGCCGAGTTCGATTGGCTCTTCTACCCGACCGATTTTCATGATTGAGGTCTCGAATTAAAGGTATGCACGCACAGATTTTCCATCAAGCATCGGCAAACATTTATCTATAACCCCACTTGGTTTATACGTAAAAAAAATTTCCTCTCCATGTATTTCTTATAGAAGTTAAATTTTGTTTCTCTTTTCCGAGTTCGTTTGGCTCTTCTAACCGACCGATTTTCAAGATTGAGGTCTCAAATTGAGGGTATGTACGCACAGATGTCCCATCAAGCATTGGAATATATGTAGCTACAGTCCAAACCCGGATTATACGTAAAATAAATTTGCTCTATTGGTAGTTAAATTTAGTTTTTCATTTCCCAGTTCGTTTGGCTCTTCTACTCGACCAATTTTCATGGTTGAATTTTCAAATTGAAGTTATGCATGTCCAGATTTCACAACAAGCATCGGTTTAAGATACAATATACAAAATACAAAAAATGCTCTAATGTGTGTCAACCGGCTACTGAAAGATATAATGGATAACGATGTGCCATTTGGTGGGAAAATCATTATCTTAGGTGGAGATTTCCGGCAAGTGTTGCCGGTTGTGCCTCATTCATCTAGAGCCTCTACTGTTCAGAATTCAATTAAGTTTTCATACCTATGGCCACTATTCAAAATTTTTAAATTAACAAAAAATATGAGGGCTAAAACTAATTAGTTAGATTTTGCTAACTTTTTACTCGAAATTGGCAATGGGGAATACCCAACAATTGATGACAAATCTGTGGACTTACCCCCACCACTTATCTCTGATTCAGACATAGTTTCAGAAATTTATGGAAAAAACCTACAAACGCCTATGGACTCATCGTACTTATCAAAATTTGCCATTTTAGCACCAAAGAATGAGCATTGTGAGGAAATCAATAAAAGAGTTTTAGACCTCATCCCAGGCTCAAGCAAAACATATATAAGTGTGAATAAACTAATTACAGATGATGACAGTGAACTATTGCAATTCCCTATTGAATTCCTCAACAGCCTTGAGATGACTGGTTTAGCCTTCTCACAAATTAGTCTTAAAGGAAGGTGCCATTGTGATGTTATTAAGAAATTAAAACTACACAGCAGGTCTTCTAAACGGAACAAGACTTATTGTCAAGAAAATGTATGAAAACAGTTTAGACTTAGAAATCATAACCGGCACAAATATTGGACAACGTGCACTATTACCCCGCATTGATCTCTCTCCATCAGATTCTACAGTACCATTGTCTTTCAAACGAAGACAATTCCCCATAAAGGTTGCGTTCTGCATGACCATCAACAAGGCGCAGGGCCAAACGATTGATCGAGTTGGTGTGTACTTGCCTGAACCAGTATTTAGTCACGGTCAGTTGTACGTCGCCTTATCGAGAGGGAAATCTTTCGATACTGTAAAAGTAGAAACTAAATCAAAAGGTGGACGAACAGCAAACATTGTTTGGAAGGAAGTATTATAAAAGTCGTAATATTAATAAAGATTACCAGATGGAGGGAAATACTCCTGAGAATATGCGTACGTGCAATTCTACCGACAGAGATGTCTATTTTACAAGAAATATTGTTGTTAATAAAACATTCTTAATAAAGCCTCATTCATGCTGTGTTACATATGAGTTAACAAATGTACGTGCTTTCTCTGTAGGTGCTTTTAGGAAGTGTGTGGATATTGTTCTGGATTAATTGATTTTCAAAACGGAAAAAAATACATCGGGACGATTTTCTCTGTGTTATATGGAATGTGTTATACTTTAATTTGGTCATAAGTCGAAATTAATCCAGCAGCCCTATAAGAGTTTAATTAAAGTTGTACCGCCCTTATTAAGTTTAGTATTTTATTTTTTTATTATTAATTTCAATGCTGCGGAGCAGCAGGGTAATCTAGTTCCTTTTAAATATGAAACATCATAAGGTTAACATGGGAAACTCCAGAGCCACTGGGGCGGAGCCCGAAAGCCCGATCAGAATAAAAACTACTTAGTTGTCCTATTTAATGCCCAAAGAATCGGTGTACCGAATTTCAGCCTCCTAAGTAAATGGGAAGTGGGAGAATTAGTGATGAGTGAGTGAGTCAGTTAGTCAGTGAGGGCTTTGCCTTTTATATATATAGATTACTAGCGGCCTGTAGGGGCCATAGCCCCTAATTTAGACACAATTGTCCATATGAAGGCAACTCCACATTTCGCAGTAGTAAGTCAAAAATATATAGGCTATATCTATGAATTTGTCCCTGAATTTTAAAGCAGTAAGGCCCATTTCCCGGAATCTCTTTTTGTGTAGCGGATAGCGACGCAAAAGCCATTGCACTTTTGTATTGCCTTATGTTTTTTATGAAGTTAGAATAATGTAAAAACATGACTTTTAGTTCGTAGTTTAATTGTGGTTGTGGCATGTTAATGAGTCCATTGTGGCAACATGCGTTGAAATGTCCATTTGTGGCCTCTGCGAAGTGAAATGCGCCACAATGCATGCAAGTGCTAAGAGGACCTATATTGTGAGAAACAACACTCAACTCGTTTTCCAGCGTTCTTCTGAAGGCAGGTTGGAAACCAGCTTGTGGATTTTCAAATTTAGGCCGTACACGATGTTCTCTTTCAGAATTTCTTGTGTCAGTTGAACTCCTGGATACTCTTCCACTTCTTACAGGTCTTCCCCTACCCTGTCTAGTTACTCCGCTCATTATAAAAATCGGAAAACCAAAAATTAAACGAATACATTTCATTTTGAAATATTATTTAACAACATTGACTTTCGGAATAAACATTACAAATAAATAAGCAACAGCTGATTAGAATGCAGACGTTTTTCAGTCCCCATGCTTTTCTTATGGTGGATATTTTACGTTATATCTCGTTTTCTGGTAATTTTATGGGAGTTCTGCTATTTTTCCCGAGTCCCTGGGGTCAAGACCTTAAATTTAAGACCTCTTAACCTTTCTGTGACTTACCAGGCGTCCACAATTTTCTGGTAAAAATTTTGTCTTACATCTATATCTATAAAAGAGGAACTATGTATGTATATATATGTGTATATACGTTATGGACTCCGAAACCGCTCGACAGATTGTAATGAAACTTTCAGGCATTATTAAGCATCTTTCAAGGATGGTTCGAGTGAAGTTTGGTGCAGATCCGTCAAAAGGGCTCTGCCCCAGAGGGTTTTAAGTGGGCCAATGTCAGACTTTTTGATCTAGAATGTTTACAAATGAATATAATTTAAAAGCAGATGTTTACTTTCACCAACTGTTTTGTACGTTTGAATAACTACAACATTCTGTATTAGTATTAGCAAAGATTACATATGCTAACGCAAAACGTTTGCGTTAGCATATGTAATCTTTGGTATTAGTCATGATTTGAAATAGTGCCACAGTGTTTCTATAGATTGCAGCACAGAAAACTATTTTACTTTTAAATAAGTCCAAATGTATTAAACCCCAATCGCAGCACACCTGTGCACTTAAAAACGTTTAAATTCTCCAATGTTAAATATTAAAACATAAAAACCTTTATAAAAGTACTGTATTATAAACAATCAAAGGGATGACTTTTTTAAATGGATGACAGCATGTTATGAACAGTAATTTGCAACCAAAAGGTGAGTGAGCGTAGCGAACGAACATCAACCTGGAGGCGAGTAAGCGTAGCGAACGAGCTAACCTGAAAACAAGTTAGCGCAGCGAACGATTTCCAACCTGAAGGTGAGTGAGCGTAGCGAACGAACTTCAACCGGGACGTGATTGAGCCATGCGAATACTTATGAAGTTAAACGGGGCAATGCCCGTGGGTACAGCTAGTAATTATATATAAGGATAGATAACTTACTATAGTTCGGCGGCTTAGAAAACGATCTGCGCGCTAATGCTAAACCAATGCTGGAGGAGGTCGCTTTCTAAGCGGCCGAACTATAGTTAATTGTTTTACTGTACTGAATTTGTTGAACTTTGAGAACTACATTAAAAATATATAAGGATGTGTACCAGTACTAAAATAAACCCAATACTCGAGTTTTTCCTGAGTTATTTGATTGCCTTTAATAGCCCACATGTTCAATATTATAATCCTGTAGGTTAGTCAGTTTATTGTCAAACATAGGATGTATATTATTCTTGAAACTATATAAAAAAATATTTTAAGCTATAAGCAAATATAAAATTTTAATTAGGCCTATGTGATGGAAGAAAATGATTTCGGTAGTATGAAGAAAAATTTAATGAATTTCACCTTCCAAAAGTTGCTGTTCAATTCTCACTCATTTTAGACCTTAGCATCACATCAATCTCCTGTATAACTATAGATCATAGAATCCTGTATAACTATAGATCATGGAATCCTTTATAACTATAGATCATAGAATCCTGTACAACTATAGATCATAAAAAATAAAACTTTTGCTCTTTGTAATGAAAAGCAGTGTAAGAGCCGAGCCTTTATAAATGCATTGCAAGATTTTGTAATACGTGTTCGCTGGATTTGCAGCACAATTATTAGAATCATACTAACTAGGATTGACTGCCTTAATGGGCCCTAGGTCTAGTTTATTTTAAGTATACATTTTAAGTTTATGTTAAAATGTATTTAGTTTGATCAATGTATTTACTATTTTCCCATGTTTTCTTTTGCTTCTTCAATAATCTGCTTCTTAATCTTCAATGTATTATTTATTTGCCAAAAAGATCAAAAATAAATCTTCTATTGTGGTAAGAGAACATTATATTACGGCTTATCTAGTAGTTTCAAAATGAAATTTCTCTCTAAAATGAGTTTAAATACAGTACCACTGATCACTATATAATAGCTTGCACTGTCAATATACCTGCAAAAAAAATTAGGTCCCTCAGGCAAAATGAATACTTTCTTTGTTGGATTCTTAGTGTAACAAATAAAATTATATAAAAATGATTCATATTATTGTTAATTTAAAGTTCCTTCTGTTGCAGACATATACTACGAGCCCTCTCAAATTCTAGTGTTTTAGAAAAGCGTCTTCTGTCCGCTACACTAGCTTTGCTAGCTGTAGCTCTCACACTGCTGATTGCTCTTATCGTCTTTGCCTCGTGTAAGTTACTGTCCCAATACTTGGCTTCAAACATCTTAACTTTGATACGTTCAATTTCATGTACTGTTTCTTAAAGTAACCCGAAAATATAATATCAGTAATGAAATAGTTATTTATGTGACTAATGTGCGAAGTGGCACTTTGCTGCACATGTTCACGTGGAAAATTTCTCGAGTGCAGCAAAGACATTTTGCGCTCATGTTGCACATTATATTTTTCCTACAATTACTAGACCTATAAACCATAGAAATAATCTGTCATTCAAACACTAAAAAACACGTTTTAGGTTAGGTTTAAAGAAATGGAAAATACTGCAACAGCTGATTGTAGTCATAGTATCTTTCAGTGTTGCCAATTTATTTTCAAGACACGTATTGCGCGCCTAATAAAAGCACACTTTTTTGGGGTTTGGTTTGGTTTTGTTTTATGTTGTTTGGTTGAAATACTGTAGTGCAGCAAAAAAAGAAATTGCGGCAAAAGTAAGTAAATGCAGCAATTAGATAACTTACATTGCATGCTAATATCAGTACAAGAAAACCCATTTCACGTTTTTCAACTAAGCTCGTTTTTTACATTCAACCCCAGCACTTGGTCATTGAGCATAAATGGTCATGACTCCCTACACTCATCCTTCGCTAATATTCAAGTTAAAATACGCACCTATAGGTTGCGTTCCTATCTAGGGTAATAGTAAAAAGAGACCTACTGGGAGGAAAAGCTTTCATTGTATGAATCTGGTTTGTGAAAATATATTTCCCAAATCATTTAAATAGGTAATATAGTTAATCATTTTAAAATAATGTATTTCGCCCCAGATTGTAATGTTAACTATATTCATGGTAATTTTTCTTCCAGATAAAAAATACCGGGATAGAGGAAGAGTTTGTGAGACAAAAGAGTGCATAAGAAGTGGTGAGTTCTTAATTGGAACAATACAAATTAATCAAGTATTCACTAAGTCTCATTACTTATTCTCAAAAGTTTCTATTTTCATAATAATATTAACTTCTATAAAGTAACCTACTTATAACTTTATGTTCACTGCCGGCTTTGGAGTTTCAGCGATATTTATTTTAAGCTTAGTCCTGCTATACAATGGCTATACTCTTCGTCAGATTTGTAACAGGTCCACAATTCTGATATCCTAAAATGTGCAGTTACCCCTGTACAATATCAATAGCTTGATTTAACTGTGACTTCTACACTGTTATTAACTACAATTAGTTTATTTGTCTATTTTTAGCAGAAGAAAAAATCTGGTACTAGCTTGGTTTTGAATATGGAACAAATTCAAAACCTTGTAGACTAAACAGTGTTAAGAATGTTTTATTGCCGCTAATACACACAACACGTATATATATAAAGGCAAAGTCAAATGAATACACAAGTATACAATTAATTACAAATATACCACAGTACTAATCAAACACAAATAATATGCTACAGAAATGTACAACAAATAACAACCCATAACATTAAATTAAAATCGAAAGTTAATTATCACAGCATAATTTCAACATTCCTCTACGGAATAAATAAATTGTTAATCAAAATCAAATCAAATCAAAATCAAATCGTTTATTTGCACATTAGATTTGTATACAATAACATGTAACAAATATCATGCATCGTCAATATTTACAAACTAAAACTAAAACATACAACATGAGAATCTACATATATACACATTATAGGCTTAGAAATTCTGAGACGGAATAAACGGCATTTGAGCATAGAAAATATTTTAAGTTCCTTTTAAATAGGGACAAAGAGTCTTGGGATTTTATTGCCTGAGGCAATTTGTTAAAAAATTCGATCCCCCTGTAAAACGGACTCCTCTCAAAGGCCGCAGTTCTGTGCTTTGGATAACAGATGATGCCTCCATTTCTCGTCCGGTGGTCATGGAAATGCCCTAGATGTTGAAATTGATCCCTGTTGACAAAGGTCAAAATGAGGACCTGCTGAATGTACAACGAATGTACTGTAAGGATGCCAGAATCTTTGAACACTTCCTTGCAAGGATGGCGATGGGAGAGACCGAAAATGCGCCTCAGAATCTTTTTTTGGAGCTTAAGTATTCTTTCCAAATCAGAAGAGCTTCCCCAAACGCCAATGCCATAACGCAAAATGCTTTCGCAATATCCACGATAGACGTCCACAAGAACTTCCCTGCTACAAGTTGAACTGAGAATTCGAATGGCAAACAGAGCAGAACTGGTGCGGTTAACAACACTTTGCACGTGACCATACCATTTGATGGAGGAATCAAAAATGACACCTAGGAATTTTGTGGTCGATGAGGGATTAGTGAGCTGCGTTTCAGGACTACTTTGATTATTCTGAGACGAACCAATCAGACCAAAATTGAGACATTGTGTTTTGTCTTTGTTAAGGAGAAGACCATTGTACTCAAACCAACTATTTAAGCTCTTGATGACCGAAGTGAATCTGTTCTCTAAGCTGGTTGCATTTGGGGCCTTGATTAGAAGTGCTACATCGTCAGCGAATAAATTCATGTGACAGTCATTTCCTTCATAATGGAGATCATTGATGTACAATAGGAATAAAATAGGAGAGATAATGCATCCTTGGGGAACCCCTCGCCGAGAAAGCATGTAGGACGATGAGATCGGACCTGAGGAACTATTTATGGAAACCTTTTGATAACGGCCAGACAAGAAAGAGCGGAACCACTGCAGAGCAATGCCTCTGACACCATAATGAAAAAGTTTATCCAAGAGGATCGAATGGTCCACACAATCGAAAGCGTTGGATAAATCGCAGAAAACCCCCATCGTCTTCTGCGATTCATCCAGGGATCGCAATATCCGGTTCGTGAAGTCATAAAGAGCAGAAAGAGTGGACTTCCCTTTTTGGAAACCATATTGATGTGGACTTATGATATTAAACCTTGACAAATGACTAGAGAGACGACTAAGAACAACCTTTTCATAGATCTTTGATAATGCCGACACCAAAGCAACAGGCCGAAAGTCATTTGGCAAGTGGCTGTCATTCTTTTTTTGAAGAGGGAATATATTTGCGAATTTGAGTTTTGATGGGAATTTTCCTTGCTCTAGGGACTGATTTATCAAAATAGACACAGGGTAAGCCAACTGATGACCACAAAATTTCAAAATACAGGGCGTTTATAAAAGAATCATCAGGTTTTAATGGCGTGTACCTCACCCAATTCATGTCCCACGTTAATATTTGAAACATGTGCTTAATAAGCATGTTTCCAAGTTTTATAATCAGCTGTTCAATAACAAGTCTTGGTTTTTTCTTGAACGTGTTTGCATGGTTTTCAAAATAATTAAAATTCCAGAAAAAACATTTTGTGTTTTTCATTATGACTCAAGTTTATCTTTAATAACTGCCCAGCGTGAGTTTCGGGGGCATTTTAGACAGACTCCTCCTACACAACAAAACATTTTAAGGTGGTATCGACAGTTTAAGAACTCTGGAAGTGTATTAAAAAGTAAAATCAGTGGCCGCGCAAGAGTTCTCTTAAAAACTGAGGTGGATTGGCAAATGTAACGATAATGACTTTACACTTCTCAAATGCCCCCCTAGATTCCCCGATCTTTCGGCGTGTGATTTTTTTCCATGGGGCTATGTAAAAGACAAAGTTTATATACCGCCAATGCCTTAAACATTTCAAGAGCTCCGTGGACCAATTCGAAATGCCGTGTAGAATCAATCAACCTAGCGATGCTAGCCAGGGTATAGGACAATTTACAGCATAGATTGGAAACTTGCTCCACGGCTAATGGACGGCACTTTGACAAGTTGTAGGGGTATCTATGAAAAATTTAAGAGTTCTCCTTAATGTTGATATGTTTTATAAACGTATTTGTTTAACATTAGCGTCAATAAAATGTTTTAAAACCTGATGATTCTTTTATAAACACCCTGTATTTGGAGAGATACCGTCCCACCCACATGAGTTCTTACTCTTTAGCGAGCCGATGACATTTAACACCTCGACTTCGTTGGTTGAAGCTAGAAACATTGAAGATGCCACCTGTGGGGAAAAAGAATGCAGCCTTCGCATAGATCCAGTCCCACAGGGTATCGGAGCTAGAGAAGTTGGATTCTCAATAAAAAACTTATTAAAATACTCTGTCATTAACTTTTTGTCAGAAATTTTTTCATTATTAATAAGCAAAAACTCTGTATCCCTATTTTTCCTATTCCTACCAGTCTCTTTTTTTACAATATTCCAAACAGTTTTTGGCTTATTTTTAGACTTCAATAATAATTCATCATTACATCTTTTTTTTTAGATTAAAATTAACTTCCTCAATAACTTAACATAACTTTTATAATAACTAATAAATATAGGATCTGATGAGCTTTTAACAATTCTACTCATTTCTTGTTTCTTATCCAATGATTTTTTAATGCCCTTAGTAAGCCATGGTTTTTTACAATTAGTAGCTTTTACAAGTTTTTTTGGAAAGTTTTCTTCAAAATTCAACAATAGTATCCTCAAAAAATTATCAAAAGTTACATCTATTTCATCTTTGACATTAAACACATTATTCCAATCAATATTTGACAAAACTTCTCTAAAATTAATTTTGTTTCTCTCTGAAAAAACACGTTTAAGTTGACTTGATGACTTACTGCTATTTTTTACCTTGTCTGTAAGATTCAATTTCAAAAGTTGAGCATTGTGGTCAGATAATCCGAAATCAACTACCCTTGTTTCACTTCCCTCCTGGTTGGTTATTATGTAGTCTATGCAAGTTTCCGACCTCTCTGTCACCCTTGTTGGTTCGTTAACATGTGAAAACAACCCAAAAGAGTCTAACAGACTAAAAAGCTCAGTTTTTTGTGCCGAGTCGGATAGTGCATCAATATTTAAATCACCACATATAATTACATGTTTCTGTTTTGAATCTTTACTAACTAAATTCAAAATTTTTTCTACCTGATCAAAAAACCCACTGAATGCTCCAGAGGGTGGGCGATATAACGCCACCACTACAGTTGAGGTTTTCTCATAATTGATTTCTACTGCTGCACACTCAATTATATTTTCAATAGAGAGTGTGCAGCACTCACAATAATAAGCCACTCACAAAAATAATTTTAAAGTGGCTCATAGAATCAAGTCGGAAAGGGGTCTAGCGGTCTAATGAAAACTCTTACTTGGTGCTGAAGGATTCTTTTCCACACACTGACATTTAGTCTTGTGAACTGTTTTTCATTTTTCAATTTGCTTCATTCCGGATTCTATTTTTGGAAATAAACTCTTAATATTTCATGCTTCACATCATAAGTAGCCACAGCTCAAAATCCCACCAACTCAAAGAGTTAACCCTGACATGAACTTGTATCTGTCATAGCCGCCATGCTTCTGCAGTCGATGGACCCAATGACTGATCCTTGTGAGGACTTCTACCAGTTCGCCTGTGGTCGCTGGGCGGAACAGAGAATCCTGGCAGAGGGGTCTTCCACCTCTTGGTTTTCCGAGAGGACTAAACACATCCAACGGAAGATACTAGGCAAGTCTCATTGTTCACCATTTGTTTATCAATTTTATTGTAGATGGACTGAGCCACAGAAAACATTTTCAAGGTTGGAGTAAAAGGACTGACAAAAAAATTTGAAGATCCTTCCTCAGCTGAGTTTGTTTTAATCTTATAGACACACTTTCATTCAGGGCAATGTTCTTTACTTAACACGCAGTAACATAAAACGTTTTTCAAGCTTTTTAAATCTTTTTAAGAGTTGTCTTAAATAGTCGAGGATATCCTCTCAGCTTATTAAATGTGCATCATGGATATTAGAACATTAACAAATGGCGTCACTAGCCCAAAATTAAAACATGTGCATATTAATATATGGAACTGTAAAAAAATGCCAAACCAGATGTTACAGTTATTAGTATACCTTCGAGCCAGTGACGACATTTGTTTGTGTTTATGGCCCATACCATTTTCTGTTCTAATACACATATTACATGGTTCGTATGTAACCGTTGCTTGATAATATAAGTAATTATACGTAGATATTCTATTCCCGTGTTGAACTGAACGAAGATAAATCAAAAAGGAAAATTTTTAATTTAAACCATTGCATTTTTTATGTCCCATCAACCATCAAAGTATCAAAAAATAAGAGAGAAAATTAATTTAATGTTGACTTAGTCAAACTCTGAGCGATATGTTTCAAATATGTTCGATTTGAATAAAAATTGGCTACGGATGAACCACATCAATGGGGTGTATACTCTAGTGTCCTAATGTAAATGGTTGTCACGGCTGATATTGTATGTTCGTTCAAATCCTGCAGAGATTTATAGCTAAAAATATTTATGTCCGATATACAGTATAATTTAATCTGCAAACATGGTCCAAGATGTGTATTATATACAGATACGCACTCTCATTCCCGCATATTATTTTGATTTGCAAAGCTTCCACCTGTAGCATACAGTAACATATGTTTAATAACTCGCCTTTGTTCACAGAGGTGTTACAAACTAACAGCACCAGTGTTGATCCCTTGCCTGTCAGACAAGCTCGCAACTTTTATCGATCCTGTACAGATACTGGTAAGTTTTTTTTAACTTAACTAAACTTTAACCTTTTATTAACTTTTAAGTTTTTTTTAGAGAATTGCCAACATTTTTATCCAGTGAATAAAACAACTAGTTGTTGTAAAAGATCAACGGATTTCTAAAGATTTGTTGAAAAGTGGTAGTTTTACATGGGCCTACAATAAGTCAACTGGAAAGACTGCAGGATTTGGATCGTTTACTCACTAAAAACATTCCAATGGTATTAAACACACAAAATAAAACAAAATGCTCAGTTCCCCATTACACCCTCTATACTCTCTATCTTTGCTCCAGACACATTAGACCAGCTTGGTCTGCAACCCATGATGGAGGTTCTGGACAAACTGATGTTACCGAGGACTCTGCCCAACACTACGACAGCATCCAGCTGGTCTTTGGGTCCCACTCTAGCAGCCATCCAGAGACTGCTCAATGCTGACATTATGGTACAACTCAGCACCTTCCTAGACCCAGCTACCAACCGATCTATACTACTGGTAATTGTAGAACAATCAATTATAACTATCACTAGTGTATAGCTACACCACAATTTTGATAGGTTTAATGAACTATTGGAGAAAGTGTATTTCAGGATTAAGTGAAGATTAGTGAAGGATGGGAGTTCAGTGGATGAGATGATTGTTTTATTTTTTGTCACTAACAAAAAACAGATGGCTCTTTAGCTAGGATAATGTATTAGAAGTCCAATAATACAGTAAAGATGGATTTATAGTTTTAAACAATCAAAGAGCTATGCAGACTTTACTCCACATTACCATTATTACCGATCAGTATGTTAAAACCTACAACTTTCTGAATAGGAGACCAACTGTCTATCCACTAAAGCTATTCCAGCTGTTACCCAAATACCTTCTTGAACTGTAATTTTGGTATGAGGTAGGCCTATTTTGTAGCTTTTAGTTGGATGAGCCACTCACAAGTCCTACTTTCTTCCTTAGTTGTATCGCTGCAATAGTTGATGTAACATAAAAGGAGCTAATACAGTTATCCTTTCAGTGTGGTTAAAAAGTTCTAAGAGTATTTCACATATTATTTGGTGGTACAATTCAGATGTGTTCATTTTAATTATGAAACTGTCAACAACTTTAACTTGGAAATGGAACTCTAGTTCTATGGTTCATCACTTTTGTCGTCTGCTACAGCTGTCGCCCAGCTACAGCCTGTCCTCCCTGCCAGAGGTTATGACACCTGAGGTGCCACACTCACACCTGACTGGCAATCAGCTGTTCAAGACCCGCCTCTCCTACATCGCTGAGGTTCTGGCCGAGATTCACCCGGAGATGAATTCCACACATCTCGTCACCATTGCTCTTCGTATCCTCTTCACTGACGCCCACATTAAAACGGTTCGTCGCTCAGGTGAACTCTTGTGTTGTATTTTGTTTATTGTTTGTGTTCTTGATTGTTGTTAGAGGTTTAAAACAACGTATGTTTGAGTTTTGTATCAAATGGTATTTACCTTCCTTTATGTTGTAAGATATTATGAAAGGACTTCTGATTTTCTAGTCAGCTGGAGGGGTCTTTTAAAGTTTCCCCAACTGTTTTTTACATAGAATAGTACAAGTCAAGTATATCCTGAGTTTATGCAGAACAAGAAATTATACACTTATTTTCTGTTACCTTGTTCTGTATACCTGTTACTTGTGGACAAATGTTCAGAAACCTACGCTAGGCTATCACACAAACATCCTAAGTGTATACATTTTGAAAATATATAATGTGTGTTCATAGCGTGCAGTTTGATAATGAAAAACTTGTAAAATTAATCGATTTGCTTCAGGATATCAAGAAGGCAGAGACTGAAGAACCTCCAATGATCACCACCTACCAGAATCTTCAGGAACTGATGGACAATGCTAGAAACTCTACAATTAGTTCTCTTAAGGTGATTATATTTAGATACCATTTTATTCTTGCAAAAGTATAAAATAATCTTTAAAATGTAAATGTGGAGACTATTGATAATGTCTGGCATTATGGTAGATTAAACATACTGCCATTGATTTGTCATCATTTTTTTAAATAATATAACAATCAATTAAGAAACCTTTCCTCTGGAATTTTAAACAAAGAGTATAACCTGCCCGGTAAAATTTTATCATACTAAGGTAAAACATTTATTCTACCCCAGAATAATCCAAATTAAATACACATAATATTTCCAATTAACCCGATTAGACTTCACTATAGCGAGACTTGCATTGTTCAAAGTCAATGGTTTTATTATATACTAAACGATAAACATGTTTTTTTGTAAACGTATACTTTAAATTATTAAATTTTATCAGCAGTGTACCCAAAAATACCCCCGCCACAGCAAACCTGCAGACTAAGCAAATTTCCATTTGCCTTAATTGGTTTTTAATTACGGTAAATATATTTAAATAACATCAGGTTAAACGAGTACCCAGGTTTGCTGCTACAGAGAGGCTAATAAAGTGTGTTTTTTAGTAAAGTATTAATAGCTTAGTATAAATAAGTTGGCCAACTTTGATCAAAATATATCCATAAAAAAGCAAACTACAACATTTTACAATTCATCTGCATAAGAATGCTAGGCAAAGAGTTTCAGACCTTACTCAGAGCAATGGCAGAACGCCAAACAGAAAAATGGAAGAAACCTTACAATTTAGTGATGATCTAGACAAGGGTAAAAACCATCTGTGCGACATTAAGCAGCATGTGTCTAAGGAGGACAAGAAAGAAGTGGAGGACCCAGAGAGTTTGAAGATGGGGCTGGAGTACCAGCTTTTTATTAATTTAAATAGAAAATGTTTATTGTTTTTCCATGTTCAAATTGTACTATTTCTTATTATATAAAAAATGTCTTAAGAAAAATGTGATTCCTCCGAACATCTGATCAATATGTTCATATACAAAATAAATGTTACGTATTTTGGAAATTTAACAACAAAAAACAACAATAAAAATTGGGAATTTCAAATTTACAATTTTTTGTATTTCTCCGTAACCAATAACCGCACAAAATACTTCAATAATATGTTATATTATTATTGTCTTTTAAGCCCTTTAAAATCGTCTAGAGAGAAATTGGGAAATGTTGTGTTTTGATGGTAAAAAATTAGAAATCCTAATTTTTACCCCATAAAACCCCGTTCCCATCTTCCGATCATGCTGGTTCACAAACTCATTCAAGTTTATCCCGCCTTACACCTTCAAACCAAATTTCACAAAAATTACTCAAGTAATCGCCTTCACAGACACTAAATGGTAATATTAAAATTTATTTTTTAACAGTTGGATTGGGCAGAGTACCTCAAGGTGCTGACAAAGGGCATGAATGTAACCACAGACATCAAATCTGCTGTGGCAGTTCAAAGTCCATCGTACTTTGAAGCCCTGTCTAGCAGATTGTCTAGCTCTAGGCCAGAGACTATACGTGAGTAAATTTATGTATATGGTACATACTATATTATGTATATCTATATTATTATATATTTAATACGCAAGCAGGTTTTTTGTGACAATTACTCCTCCGAAACTACTGAACCGATTGTCATGTTTTTGGTGTCATTGGAAAGAGCGTAACGTGAAGTTGTGCAGGAAACTTTCTTTTTAGGGAAATAATTAGAGAGTGAGGCTCTGGGGCCCTTTAAAGTTTCGTATTTCTCCATAAGATTAACATGGGGAACACAAATTGTTATGAAACTACAGCTGTTGTCAGAAATTAAAAGTGAGAAGAAGAACATACATATGTGTAAATTGTAAACAGTCAATAAGTTTGCTAATTTAACAGTTTGCTACAAACCTTTACTGACTTGGTTGAAATTAAATATTTACTATTTTAATTTGGGTTGGCGTAAATACTGCAATGGGAAAAGGCGAGAGAGCCTGGATAAATTGATATAATAAAAAAAACTGAATTAACACTGTGCTGCATTTCTTAGTAATCATTGAAAGAGCCGATTTGCAAACTATGGAAACGTAGAACACCATCAAGGAGAAGAAAGAGAAATAATGTTTTTTTTTTTTGAGTTAATAATAGTTATTATGGACAACCTAATGCGGCTATGAGTAAGGCTATTTTTGTAGAAAACTTTGAATAATGATAAGATGTTTACAATAAATGTTGATTATATCGATCTGTTATATACATCTTGAGTATTTCCATAATCTTTAAGTCGAATCTTTTAAAGTCATCAGAAATTATGACTGTTTTTTGGTTTATAATAATGCCTGTAATACTTAGCAATTGCTCGAATTCGAGCAACAGGGACACTAGTTTATACATAATATGTATGGTATAGATGATAAGTAACAAAAACAAAATAAACATTGTTATTCTGTGGTATAAGTCTGTGGTTGAAATATGTATTTGGGTTGGTAGTTGCACCTCACTTGCTTTTCCAAATGAACTTTTAAGGAGGTCAAGAAGTAATGCTTCAAGTGAATGAAGTTGAAGGAACAACATCACATGTTGCATGATGATGACGTTTCTTGGTCTGTTCCAGAGAGATTTGTTTGGTGGAAAGTTGTTGAATCTTTGTCACCTCACACAACTACCGCCATGAGAAGGATCAGGGACAACTTCATGGAAGTCTTGTTTGGTCCTTCTATCAGATATACAAGGTAAATATTTTGTTTACCACCATGGTTTTACCATTAGGTTTACTAATATTGTTAAATCTCTATTAGTTTTGCAATCTGTCATTGAGACACAGTGCTATCCCCAGGTCGAATTTCTCTTCTCGTTTTCTCCGCTTAAAATTAAATTGATGAACAACCACGGACGACCTCGTTCTGAAAATTGTTTCGATCCTCCTTGAACAACTTATGCACGTCTAAGTCAATACACTTTTCTCCTTAAACATAGGTACATCAACTCGCAATGAATTTCTATAGAGGTTGACCCCCTCCCACATATCTGAAAGAATGCAATCCATAATTGGAACGAGCACTGATTTACTGCCCATCGTTATAAGCTTGAAAAGACTAAGCATTGTGAATAAGTATGGTATTGTAACTATAGCTATGCACTAGTGGTGGGGGCTGCAATCTTGCCAGATTTAAACCAGAGTGTTATGTTTTGATGGGAGTGATGAGCTGGAAACAATTATTTATAGCCAACCTTCATATTATTTAAGTCACAATTTCACATTTTCAAAGCCCAAATTTATAAATAATCTACGAGCCTAGTCCAGAAAGAAAGTACCTTTTTGTTCTACCGCTGGCACAGCGCTAACAACGATATTACGCCTATGCCCACTAGTCTCCTTGGTTCATTGTTGAACAGCTGACGCAATTACGGCAAAATTTTGTTGAGTTTACATTAGTGTACACTCAAAATGTTTGAAACAATTTCTGATCCCGCGGACTGTGAAGTGCGTTCTTTTATACGATTTTTGAACCCAAGGAACGTGAAGTCTGCTGAAATTCATTGCCGACTTACAGAAGTTTATGGAGAAAAATTTATCAGTGATGGAATGGTAAGAAAATGGATTTGACAATTCAATGATGGGTGAACCAATGTTCATGACGAGGCTCGCAGCGGGCGGCCATCTGGTGCGAGTCCCCATTCTGCTGGTGCCACTCAAAACCTTTTGCACGGATTTGGTTGGGAGCAGTTTGACCATCCGCCATACAACCCTGATCTAGCATATTCTGATCTCCACTTGTTTTTGCACTTGAAGCGGGATTTCAGACGGCGCCGCGCCCCTTTGACAGCGATGACGACGCTCAAGACAGTGTTCGGCAATGGCTCTCTTCAATGGCGGCATCTTTCTATGAAGAGGGTATAGAAAAGTTGGTTCCTCGCTACGACAAATGTCTAAAAAATGGTGAAACCAAGTAGAAAAATAGTTTAAGATATAGGTATCCTGCGCGCTCTTTCTTGTATGAATAATTTTTTTATTTTTTATTAAATGATCTGCATGTTTTTTTTCCAAAACGGTACTTACTTTCTGGACAAGCCTCGTATACATATGGACATTGGAATTTTCAAAACTTTATTATGTGTTTGTGTCCCTTTTATTAGAGGTGATTAGGCTATAAAAATTCAAATATATCAGAACCTATTAAATTATCTCTAAATTGTTAGAAAACCTATACACTTGGATTGTTTAGTTTATACATAAGCATACTGTATTGCATACAGTATGCTTATATGTATACTACATTTTCTTTTACAGAGTTAAGAGATGTGGAAAAATCACAAAGTCTTTCTTCAACTATGCGATTAGTCATGTTATTGCTTCTCAAAACCGTTTGGAAGAATCTACAAAGAAGGTAAATTATTTAATTAATTTTCCCTTGACACTTATTATTGGTACATGATTCCTGTTTTATAAACTTAAATAGTAACAAGACGACGGCTTAGAATGATGTTCCCTTACAAAAAGCTTTTTAAAAAATCCACTAGCAAAAACACACAAATAAAAAATCTATAGTAAATTACTGTTATAACCTGGGTAAAGGAAACTTTCAATTTATCTGGACATTATTTAATTAATCACCCAAAAATATTTTGTTTAAACTCCAATTCAATTTTAAAATCAAATACACTCATTTTTTAACTGACTTCCCCACTACCAACTTAAGGAGGAGGTTCTCAATTCGTTTGTGGCAATTTTTTTTTCTATGGATGGTCACCAATTTCTCTGTGATTCTTTTACCGATCAACGTGTTTCCACCACCAAAATAACCGGGAGAGTTTCTCTTTGGTACCATATAAAACATTACCGTATGTTTAAGTGTAATATTTTTTTTGTTGGTGAAAAATGCTGAAAACCTGAAATATTCAACATTTATTTTGTTTATATATGTGCAGAGATGGCAATAAATACCTAATTGCCTAATAATATGCCTACATCTGTTAGTTGAAACCATTTAAATGAAGCTACAGACAGTTCTTCATGAAACAGTTGCTTCGTATTGATTAATAAACTATTTCTAGCCATGGAGCCGAGATAAATTTTAAGAAAGGTATTTTAACGTTTGACCTGACTTGTGTATAATTCCGTTTTGAGTATTGAATTTTCTGACTTATAAAAATGTCAAAAATCATCATAAAGCCGACTTAAAATATGTGAGCTTGACTATTACTGTAAAAAAGTTTACTTTATTAAAATTATTTCATTCTTAGAGCGTTTGAAGTTGGATGTTTTTTTTACAAAAACAAATTATTTACCGAACCCATGTATTTTACGGTTCAAATAGTCTTGTAATTAAACTAGTCTGGAGCAAAGATATTATTATGTATAAGATTCTACCAATTTCCTTGTTATTCATTGCAGAATAAATGTCTCAATTAATTAATTAATGTTTACTGTACAATTTAAATTTTTTTATAGTTAAACCGACATGATTGTTTTGTTAAAAACCAAGGTCCAAGATATGTTGAGGGACATAACTACAGCGTTCAGTGGTATGGTGAGAGCTCTAGACTGGATGGATCACCGAACTAAAGCCGCAACTCTGGGCAAAGCCGCGGCCATCAGAAAGTACGTTGGCTACCCTGATTGGTTAATGAACGTGACGGAACTGGAAAACCTTTACTCAAACGTAAGTTTCTATTCATTTACCCTTCCTTTCTTCTGTTATATGTTTAAAAAGTCAATTCCTGTTTTTTTACCTCTGCTAGTAACAATGTTTCTTACAGTACTCCCTGAATAAACTAGACTGAATAATAGGTTGTTTTAAACCCTGATCAAATCCACCACAGCTCCAAATTGAGTTTTGGTAAAATAATTGAATCTCAAGCGACACTGACGCAACCTAGTAGGCGAGGACAAAGGTCAGGTGGACCACAAGATTGTTCTAACTAGTTTTGCCTTGGATGTCACTCGTCACAGTCAGTGAACTTACATGTGTGTGTCGTTGTTGTTTTTTTTTTTTTTTTTTTTTTTTTTTTTTTTTTTTTTTTTAATACCATTTAGTACATGTTTAATTATTCATGCTTGGGTCATGTGAGCTTATAAAACCCTCCCTTTCCTTAGGAGGATACAACTGTTATTCCAAAAGTCATACCTCCTACTAAATGTAAAAAACAGTACTATGAGACTGGCAACTGTGCTGCATCTTGTTTAGACTCTGGCTAACACTTCTAGGGGTTTTGTGATTCCACTGCTGCAGGGCTGCAGCGAAGCAGTGGTGACTATTACTCACTCGTATCCTTTTATTTTATTCTACTCGGGAGATTTTTGCTTCAAAAAGCAAACATACAGTACACACAGGTCCTATTTTCTCTGTGCAACCTTCTAGATCAGAGTAAAAGATAGTCCAGGTTTCATTTTAGATGTTTTTCCGACAGTTGAACATCACCAAGAGCAAGTTTCTCTGGAACATGTTGTCCATCAAGGCTAGTGAGGTGACGGAAGTTCTCAATACGCTGGGAACAACTCCTCCCAACTCCACTGAGTTTAGGTATGGTAAGTATAGTCTGTGTCTAGCTGTAGTTTACCTCATGCCACTTAGGGTGCCAAGCTCTCCATTCCAGTTACCTAACTGTAAAATGTGTGTTCTGATGTGTTGTGTTGTATTATACGCCACTTTGTAGGGGCAGCATGCATGTTCCTTAACACGAATCACCTTGAAAAACCTTCGTCAAGTTGGAGATAATATTTTGTTATAGACAGTGACAGATTTAAACTCCTAAATCCCTGAAGCTAACTGCACGTGTGGCAAAATATGCGTTAACGTAGGATAACAGTAGAATGAAGAACTTCTTACAAGGTTTTTTTTATAAATATAGGTATACTGTAGACTTCCTCTTATCTGGACTCCTAAGACCCGTCTGGATAACGGGTTTTCCGTCACCTAATCAGGGTAATCACTTGAAAAATAATCCAAATATTTTATTTAAATTTGGGAAGGCATTGTATTTAGACACGTGATCACTGGTGTCAAATCTTTCTCACAAGAAAATTTATTTCAGTACTGTTCCTGCCAATCCTGTCCAGTTAACCCATGTGCTAATCAAAATTATCCAGTTAAATTTATGTCACTTCTGGCAAGTGTAGTCCAGTTAGTTAAACCGATATTCATGTGCTATAGAGTCTACAGTTTGTATGTTGTATTTCCAGATGGGACAGTGATCCTTTAGAAGTGAATGCTTATTACAGCAGAACAATTAATGCAATAGGTAAGTGCTTATGTATCAACATTTTAAAAATACTAGTTGCTCTGCCCGTGCTTCTCTACGGGGTGAGAATGCAGAAAAGGAGTAATGCTCAATCGTACTTATCGATTATTTAAATGCAGCTTTCTTAATGTATTAACATAATTTTATATAGTGTATTGCATTTAGTGCAAAAGTCCAATTCACTGACCACATGGCACCAAGAAACAAATCTTCATATTAACAAATTTAATTAAATAGCAGAATGAAGGATTACAGCTGGGTTATTAAATTTTCTTCATAAGAAATACATTGGACAGGAATTGGTGATGGGGTGTCTACACAAAAAATACTTAATTTTGAAACATTGTTTGTAAAAATCCATCCATTATTAACGGAGGAGTAGTGTTTCGTAGAAATCGCCTTCACGTACTATATATAAGGAAGGATTTCAAAACTAGAACAGGTCTAGGCCTACACGTACTAACCTCTAGTTACACATTTGGAGACCAAAAGTAAGAGTGAGGCTTAAATCAATATAATTGAGAATATTTTTATTTGCATTATGTCAACAATGCAAAATTGTCTTGGTTTCACAGGGAAAAAGTATCTAATACTTTTGTTGGTACATGTAACAAATATGTTTTATCATTCAACGGATTCCCTAAGAATGAAAAGCTGTTACTAAACAGTACATACTGAATATGTATGGTTTACAGGTTCAACAGTAAAAATTCCAGTGTTAAAAGATAATCTCCAGATAGTCAGTTGTATGTTTAAACAGAAGATATAACATTGTATTTCTTTGCACATGCAGCGATTCCTGCCGGTATTTTACAAATTCCATTTTACTTCTTGGGCATAGAGTAAGTAAGCTATGTAAAGTCACAAATTAGGTTAAACATACACGCTTATAGATTTATGGTTCTCACTTCTCTGAATAGGAAATGAGGATACATTTTTATATCTTGCAAATCTTGTTCAACTCTCAGTGATCTTTGTTATGAGTTATTTCTTGTCTTGAAAACTGTGCCATCTGTTTTAGCAAATTTCCCATTTAGGGAATAAGCTATTACCGTAGGTCTCATGGTAAACTTAGACCCGGGACCGATTTACTTTTTCGTTTTGAGGTCTTCAGAGGCTAAAAACACCATCCGTTCAAATTTATATATGTGTCCGTTAGTACGATAACTCAAGCAAAAATTATCCGATTTTGATGAAATTTGGTACTGTTTCCAGTCATTCCTACGTAGTGGGTTATGACGTATTGTTTGAAAGATTACTAACACGTGAATCGTTCAGTTTATAAAATGAAACGTGTGCACCCAAGTGGCGCAAGTAAAATAAAAATGGATAGGAAATATTTCAAAATAAAAACAAATTAAATTAAAACTGTTTGAACTTATGGTTAGCAGGTTAGCTGGTTTCAGTTCCGATTCTTCTAACAACGAGAAGTCGCAAACAGGCAGGCGGAAATCTTTAGAAGTTTTATGTAAGCCTTACAACGTTTAAATTAAAATACTTTTGATTATTTCTGTTTGTCTTTGTTGCTGAAGTACAACTATGGAGTAAAGTGTGTGATAAACAGTAAATGTGGTCCATTCATAGATGTAGTCAAAATTCAAAAGTGGTACGTGATATACTTTTTTACCATGTATGGCAAAAACTCCAAGAACTAGGTTTTGGTCTTATTTTTAAATTGAAGACTTAAAACAATTTTAAGAATAGGCCTTTAAATTTTATGGCAGCTGTAGAGGTGAATAGAAATACGAGAAAATTTTATATCAAATTTAAATTGATTGATACCTTGGAATTCAATTTATAAATACAAACATTTTAATTTATGGACATTTAGCAATTATTAATTTAATCAAAATTATCAAAAACTTTTAATCATTTAAAACCACATTAGGCCCCTTTTATGAACCTGCGGCATGCAGCAAACATATATGCTAACTAATTGTTGCCGTGAGAGCACCCCATGGTCCTTGTTTTATTTCTGGCTGGGGGCCTCAAATCAACATCTAGCCGAGGGCCTCCAATGGAGCCAGACCGGGCCTGAATAAAATCATATATATCTTTTTATTTGTTGAACGCAATAATGAACATGAAGCGCCCACCAAAGCTTCAGATTTTACAGAAGGAGGGTATTTAAGTCTATTCTCATCCAAAGTCAATGGCAATAGCTGATAGTTTGTACATTAAGATAAACTAATTATATTAATCCATCTTATATGGTTTGTATTACGGTACAGAAATGGTTTTATTGAATAAATCCTTTAGTGATGAGGTAAAAGTTATTTCAGCACAATTCAGCAGAGAACATAATGTCACATTTTTGCCAAAATAAAAATTTTTAAGATGTTATGTTTTGAAAAAAAAAAGATTCCAAAAAAAGAATATATTGTACTAATCTTTGAATTAATATTCAATTATATTCGCTACTTAATAGGAATTGTGAGTATGAGTATAACGGCAATGGTAACTAAAATTTCTTTTAGATTAAAGAGTTATCATTTTTGAAAAAGAACTAAATAATAATTGATAGTAGCATTTCGTTATGAGGAGTAAATGCTATGTAAAATTTAAGGGAAGGGTATATACACAAATAATAGTCATAGTGGTCATTACGAAGGGGTGGTCTTCTATAAATGTTTGCCAAACAATTATCATCATTGCACTATTGCAGGGCCCTGAACTATGGAGCGATTGGAAGCATTCTTGGACATGAGCTAACCCACGGTTTTGATATTGAAGGTATAACTTTCAATTTGCTATATTCACCTAAAAATCCTTTAAGACAAAATGAGACATTTATATAGGAATTTTTGAGAGGATAGCAGGCTTACCTGAATGGGAAAGAGTCAAAACTGGCACAGGAAACACAAAGATTTACAACTATATACACAAAACATTAGAATATTTCACTGTCACTGGCAGCATTTTTAACTATAAGGAAGGGAAGTATTTGTTCACAGGTGTATATGTTGAAAATGACTAGAAAGAGCTTTAAAAACACCAATTTTCTGGAACCCCTTCTCATTCCACACCCCATAAACCATCTGGTAGCCCCCCTCTGACAAGGTCCTAGAATCACAACTTCATATTAGCAAAAACATAGGGTTTAATTGAGGGAGAAGATGTGTGTTGGTTTACCTAGTTTTAACATAATTTTAAGTCAGTTTGACAATGGTTTTATTTTATTATTGGTAGGTACTTTGGTATTATGCAAATGCCACCCTGATACATAGATGAAAGTATGACTCATCTGGTATGGTTCGGTTCATAACAAAACTAGGGAAGTCGTACAAACATATTTATGATAACACAACCTAACATAACCACCGCAGCGCTGTAAAATATGTGGCCTCCGTATAATACCAATGTACCTGATTAGTGATTATCTAATGAAAATCAGAGCTCATAACATCAAACTGTCCTTAAAAATGTCCCTTAACTATGTAATGAATCTTTTGATGTTTAGGGAAAGACTATGACGAGACTGGGCAGAAAGCGTCCTGGTGGGACAGTAAAGTCTCGGACATCTACAGTCAGAAGGCGGAGTGTTTTGTGGACCAGTACAGCAAGTTTTCCTTCCACAACTCTGATCAGCTCAAGGTCAAACGCTACTCTATATGGAATACATTGTTCTATGATAAACCTCATGAATTGTGAGTGGAGTGATGATACGACAATATCAATCACTCATATTATTTATGGATGCATTATGATCAACACACAAATGATTGATGAAGATCATCCATCAGAAATATAAGTTTATGGTTCATAGTGATAATCAGGCACATATTAGCAATGTTATTTTAGAGTTTTGGGATGCACTGAATGGCTGCCAGATAGTAAAATACTACTCAATAATCTGAGCGTAAATATATTCTAAATCCATAATTTACAGAAAAATGAAAAAAACACTAGCTGCATAGCCTCCTCTACACAAGGCTGATGCGTTGTTGTGTGGTAATGGCAATTGGCAACTTCGCTGTCGCAACATCATGCCTATTGCCATGGTGATAATAGCAATAACAAAAGTGTAAACATCAACATTGCCTATACGCTTCAATATAAAATTAGTGCAACAGCTGTTCGGTGTTATAAACACTTTTGTCTCGCTGTGGTCTTGTAGTAGAGGAGGATATGATAGCTGTGCAATACACAAATTAAAATAAAATTGTATATTTTGCAAGTGGGCCCTACTACATACCTATTATAAATAGCCTGATCTTCCTTTGATAAAATATCTTTAAAATAGACCTTATAAATTTCTCAATCAGCAACTAGCAGTTGTATTATCTTGTATACGTTTCCAAATGTTGAGTAAATAAACGGTATCAGCATTCTGACACATACTTTCTCCCATAAGTTTGTCAACAGCCTTTATCACGTGTAAGCGGTGAGAGTAAATATACGGAAATGGGATTAGTACAATTTTGATCTTAATTTAAAGGATTATAACATACAAAATTTTTATCAAAATCGTTCGGGCCATTTTTGTGAAAATCCGATTTTCCCGTTATTTTATGGGGTTTTTATGGGAAAATAACATAATCTACAATAACTTTTGACCGGTAATTTTTACAGAAATGGGATTTGTACCATTTTGTTCAGAATATAAAGGACAATGACATACAAAATGTTTATCAAAATCGTTCAGGCCGTTTTTGGCAAAATCCTATTTTTTCGTTATTTTATGGGGTTTTATGGGAAAACCCCCATTAAAAATCAAAATTTCTAAAAAATTGAAAAAACTATGAATGTTGTAAGGACCATTACATACTATGTTAAATAAAAAGCGGGTTTTTTTAAATCCTATTTTTCGTTATTTTATGGGGTTTTTATGGGAAAATGACATAATTTACCATAACTTTTGAACCGTAATTTTTACAGAAATGGGATTTGTACCATTTTATTCAGAATTTAAAGGGCTACAACATACTAAATTCTTATCAAAATCGTTCGGGCCATTTTTGAGAAAATTCGATTTTTCCGGTTTTTTATGGGTTTTTATGGGAAAATCCCCATTAAAAATCAAAATTTCAAAAAAATGAAAAAATCTCTGGAGATACCATGGATTAGAACCTACATACCAAATTTCATCGAAATCGGACCACAGGTGTAGTCCCTAGCTCTGTACACATCCAGGCACACAGACACACAGACACACAGACACACAGACACACAGACACACTCACACACACACACAGACATCACTTCGAAAACCACTTTTTTGGGTCCAGGGGGACCCAAAACGAATATATCCACTCAAAACTCAAACTCGAAAATTTTGACGAAAACAATACTTTCTCCATATACTATGGTATAGGGGGAGAAAGTAAAAATTATAGATGACTATCATAAACCCTCTCTGAAATACTTAGACCTACTTTTGTATTTAAATCGAACACAAAGTAGCCTAACTATTTTACCATAGGTGAATGGAACACTTACCCTGGCTGAAAACATCGCTGACAACGGGGGAATCCGCGAGGCTATCCAAGGATACAGACTGTACACGGCTCGTAATGGACAAGAGCCTTACTTACCTGGACTTCAGCACTACTCTCATGAGCAGCTGCTCTTCCTGGCTTTTGCTAATGTAATTTCAGATAAAAATTGCTTCTGGCATGTATAAATATACAAATAACACCTTTTATGTAGATAAACTGAGTAAAATAGAAAAATTATATTTTCAGTGAAGCATGTACAAGGTGGTTAACTTCAACATGAATGCTTTTTTTAAACAAAAATTTATTTGCAATCCGCTAGTTTACAAATTGAGCAATGAGTAATGCTATATACATTTGGCCTCAGTTCTACTATAGCCTACACACTAACTTATACATTTGAAAAAAGGTGTTGGGTTTGAAGCTATGTTCCCCAAAGCTGGTGGGTCCAAACTAGTTTCAGTAAAACTTTGTAAAAATTGATTTCAAAAATGTTTAAATACACAAATTAGTTTCAAAAATATATGGTATACATAATTTCCTAGCTTAAAGATTGCATAATCCTATTTTATATTTTTGTCAACCTTTGAGATGAATTCGTTCAGTGCCTATTTGATGTGTAGGCTATATAGGCTACTTTTAAAACTTGTAAATAGTTTTAAAACATTTCCATTGTAAACACCGTGTAAAATTTTTACAAGAATTAAAAATTCGGTGGCCTTGAAGAAAAGCCTTTCCTGTGACTTTTCATTATATCTCGTAACTCCAACACATTAAAATTTCATTAATAATCTCAGTTTACCATAATCAGCCTCGTAACCATAATGTTGGTTGTCTCAGGTGTGGTGTGAGGAGACGACGCCGCAGTTTGAGGCGATGAGTCTTACGGATTCTCATAGCCCCAACAAGTTCCGAGTGCTCGGCAGTCTCTCTAACTCCCCCGAGTTCTCCAGTGTTTGGGGCTGTAAGACTGGAGCTCGCATGAACCCGAGCCATAAATGTATACTGTGGTGAACAAAAAATAGATTTATTTTCAATTAAACCATTTTTTACACCACGGCGTTGTTCCTACCCAACATCAACATACCTTGAGAATATTGGCCTGGTGTGATGAGTCTAAATACTATATATTAAATATAATTTAGGGAACCCGTGCGGCTCAATGAGCCTCAGTATAAAACATAACGTTGAGGAAAACTTTGTGGGAAACTTATGAGTAACTTTCTTAGAGTTATTATAAAACTACTTGTCAAAAATTGATTTGTAATATCTCCAATTGTCTAGTCAATGTTCACATACATGTCTGCTCCTACCCAGACAGCACAAAGATATTTTATAAATATTTTTAAAATATATATCCATCTTAAAAATATTTTATATATTTTAATATTATTTTTTAAATATATTTTTTACTTTCTCCCCCTATACCATAGTATATGGAGAAAGTATTGTTTTCGTCAAAATTTTCGAGTTTGAGTTTTGAGTGGATATATTCGTTTTGGGTCCCCCTGGACCCAAAAAAGTGGTTTTCGAAGTGATGTCTGTGTGTGTGTGTGTGTGTGTGTGTGTGTGTGTGTGTGTGTGTGTGTGTGAGTGAGGGTCGCCTAATCCGCTGGAGTCCTTCGAGCTTCTGCCAGACTATAGTAATTCAGTTTTAAAAATCTTTGTACAACAAAATCAAGAGTTCTACTGGACCGATTGTATTAACTAATGGGTCATTGGAAAGCAATTCGTGTAGATTTTCAAATAATTATGAAAGTTTGATATTTTAAGATTTGCTAGGTGAAACCGTGAAACCCGTCAACGTCGACAATTAGCCTAGGTACTGTTGAGGTTGCAAGCAAGATCTTTTTAACTATAAATCGATGATAGATAACTCCATTTTTAAACAATTTGGTGGGTCGTTTATGATTTAGCAGTGTGCTTTAGGTACGTCCGATTTCAATAATCAATAATTCCAATGGAATCTGGTATTTCACTGAAGAGTTTTAGATAAAAACATATGGGATAATGTAACTACTGGAATACATTTTTAATTGAAGTAAAAATTGAAAAAATCCAGTTTAATTGTTTTCGTAGGGTAATATATTTGATATATTAATGATGACAAATATGTGCTTGCTATTTGAGACCAAAATTATGAAAATCGGTCCGGTAGAAGAGCCAAACGAACTCGAAAAAAACAAATTAAACTCCCGTAAGTAATGTACAGTTTGTGCATTACTTCTTAGAGCAAGCATTACTCATCAGCAAGATGGCTTGATTCCTGTTCCTTGGAGGCAGTTTGTGCATAACTCAAAACATACGTCAAAATGAGTGCTGATGCTTAATAGCAAATCTATGGTGTGTCCATAGCTTAAGTTTAAAGCCGGATTTACACTACATATGTAGCCAAAACCTGCTATATAACTTTTGCTATATAACATTGCTTTATAACTGTTGCTGTATGAAAATTTTACAAACAATTTTAGTGATTCTGGTGCTCGTGCTATATGTTTATGTAGCACAACCTCATTCGCATTCCGTATCGAAATGTGCGCTGAAGGACATTGTTCGTGGCAGTTATCTTGGTGATCTTGGAGAGAGAGAGAGAGAGAGAGAGAGAGAGAGAGAGAGAGAGAGAGAGAGAGAGAGAGAGCGAGAGAGAGAGAGGGAGAGAGAGAGAGAGAGAGAGAGACAGACGGGAGCGAAGATTTTAGCAAGTTTTAGGTTTGACCGCTTCTTGCTTCGAGAAATAAGTACAGTGTAGCAGATTTATTACGGGACCTTAATGATGACGAATACACTGACAATCCATAATTAAAACTCTAAATAAGGTGACGGTAACTTCAAAAACGTTTTACGTATGATCACAACGCTAGTTGTCCACGGAACAGTTCAATTAAGTTTATAATATCATCCCGATCCTAGGCACTGTCACTTTCCGTTTCCAGTCCTTCCATTGTAAACAAAGATCGCTGAGCAAAACCGTTCGCACCCAGGAGGCTACAACTGTGAACTGTGTGCACTAAATGCTACATATAGCAGATGCTAGACGAAAAATATATGTATATCATTGCTACATATGGCAATGTTAGATGTAGCAAGTATTTCTTTTGATATTTACCGACTCCCGATGGATAGCACAATTTTAGCTATATATAGCAGGATCTGCTACATATAGCAGTGTTATATAGCACTTTTGTAAAGTTAGTTTTTCTTCTTCTAGCAAATGTTATATAACATTGCTAGATGTTACACAAATCTGCTATGTAGCAGGTTTAGCCACATAGTGTAAACCCTGCTTAAGGCCAAAATTATGAAAATCTGTCTGGTAGAAGAGCTAACCCGACTCGGAAAAGAAAAACCAATTATTTTAATAGATGGCAATAATTGATTTACCAGCATGCATAATCTAATCATACGAAAATAATCATACGAAAAATGAGTTAATAATTTAACAGCTTATTGTTATATTGTTATTTAATAGATTTTTCTTTGATTAACTATTGTTGTTAACAATTTGCATTTGTGTTTAAAATGTGTTTCTTATATTAAGTGTGTGATTCTAATGTTATGAGCTTAATCTGTACCAAATATTAGTGAGCAAAGTGGTGTATGGATTTCATAACCATTATTTTACTAGAGACCGTTGTATTTATTTAACCACAATAATGGGCTCTGTTGATAGTCTATTAAATAAATAACATTAGGTTTAACGAAACGAGTACCAAGGTTTGCTGCTACAAAGAAACTAATTAAGTGTGTTTTTATTAAAATATTGTTTAGTATAAAATAAATAAATCTGCAAAGTTTTATCAAAGTATATCCATAAACGAGGAAACTACAACTTTGTACCATATTCTCCATAAGAATAACATGGGGATTTTAAATTTCCAATTTTTTAAATTTTCCCCGTTACCAATAATCGTACAAAAACCCTTTGATATACTTAACTATTTGTTTTTTAAGCTCTTTAAAAAGGTCTAGAGAGAAATTGGGAAATTTTACGTTTTAAGGGTCAAAAATGAAAAAAAAACTAATTTTGAAAGTATAAAATAATTTATAAATAAAAAACTTTTCAAATGCCACGTTTTTAAACGCACATTTTTTCGCCCATAGTGCATCACTGTTAACAGTATATTTTAAATTCAACCATTATATTCTTTTCCAGCATGAAATGTTCTATAATTTGATACCAAGGCAGATTTTTTAACAATAATTTAAAATTTTACACTTTTTTTAATGGTGGCCAAAAAACCGTATTTTGCGTAACAGTACAAATGTATACTTTTAGTATGTTCTTTATAAGTGTATTACCTACCAGTTCTAACTGGAATAATTAATGTTGCAATTAGTTCCACCTCAAACACTATTTCTACTGCACTAAAAGGTGTCAAGAATATTAAACTAAAAATCAAGAAAAATCCAATTGGCGGAAAGCCACAATTTTTTAAAAAACTTCCGCCATATTGGATTTATGTAAGCTTTTAGTAAACATCAATAATTTGACAACTAATCGTCTTAACAATCTGCGGTTTGTCTTAATAGCTTCCTCATCAAGTTTACTTGATAATAATAACTTTATACCATAATTTATTTAAAAGAGACAGCTTTAAATAGAAACAATACCAAATTTCGAAGATGTTTTTTTGTAAAACCTTTAAATGTTTGCAAATACAAACTCAGGTGATAAGAACATTCATATTTTGTGGCTCTTAAAAAAAATCTGCATACAATTTTGAACAATTATCAATCAAGATATATTATGGGATATATTGTTATTAGTCTTCAACTTGGAACGCTAGCCGTGCTGCACCACTACATCTAGTCCGATTGAAATACACTTCGAGGTGGGAAAAATTGCTTTGAGAACATTTAAGACATATTTTGGAACCATACATTCATACATATAGGGCAATGTATAAAAAAATCTGACAAAATCCGAGCATGGGAACACTGAAAAAGTAGGGGTTTTGAAACATACCAAAATTCAATTTTTCATAATAGACAATTACATATATGTGTCCGTGAACACGATAACTTGAGTAATTTGTATACAATTTTTAATGGAATTTGGTTTTAAGGTGTAAGGCGGGATAAACTTGAATGAGTTCGCGAACCAGCATGATCGGACCATGGGAACGGGGTTTTACGCGTGGTTTTATGGGGTAAAAATTGGTTTTTCTAATTTTTGATCCTCTAAACGCAAAATTTTCCAATTTCTCTTCAGACCTTCTTAAAGAGCTTAAAAAACAAATAATTTAGTATATCATAGTGTTTTTGTACCATTATTAGTTACGGAGAAAATTCAAATAATTGTTATTTTAAAATTCACATGTCATTCTTATGGGGAATATTGTAAAATGTTGTAGTCTGCTTGTTTATGGATATATTTTGATCAAACTTGGTAAATTTATTTATTTTATACTAAGTTATTAATATTTCACTAAAAAACACACTTTTTTACCCTCCCTGTAGCAGCAAGCCTATGTACTCATAAAAATTAATGGTAATTAAATACATTTAATTGAAAATCAATTCAGGCAACTGGAAATTCACTTAGTCGGCAGGTTTGCTGCGGCGGGGGTATTTTATTACTAAGATAATCAATTATTGGTATTCTCTGACCCTTAAAACATAAAATTAGACACAAAAATTATTATCCTGTCTCTTCTATAGGGAAAGATACAGCAAATATACAGTTTTTAAGCCATCTTGGCCACCATTTTGAATATTTCAATTTGTTTAAGGGTGACAAAGTGGCACCCTGCAGATGTTAATTATGTAGGTCTTAAAGAAACAGAAAACACTAAAAAACATTGGGTGGACCTTACTTTCAGGTTTGGGTGAAAAATGCCTTTTGGCAACTAGACTATTAAGCATTGATGGTTGCCGCGCCAGTTACTGGGATTGCGGAACTGAAATATCATGTCGACGCCGTTAATTAAACATCGTTGGTGGTGTAGTGGTTAGAGTACCAGACTGACGACTGGAGATCCCTTCTGCTTCTGATTTTGTTAGAATATGATTTT